GAATTGCCCACCCCTGCATTAGACAGAAAAACACAAGAATCTGTGTTTGCAAACTAATCTGGGTGAACACTTGCCTGTGGCTCGAAACCCATGTCGAACATCCTGTCTGCTTCATCCAGCACTACGTATGTTACTCTACGCAGATTGGTGACTCGACCTATACGACAAAGGAGATGGGCATGATAAGGAAAACAGCCAACTTAATTAAAAACCTGTTCTCATCCTGCCTTCTTCAAAAGAAACAAAACAAATTTTAACTAATCTAAAGGAGAAGCATGTTTTAGGCTACTTCACATTACTTGACAACAAAACAAGATATCCTAACTTCACCACATTCTTCAGTTTTCTAGTTTCAAGTGGCCAGGGTTTATTTTATTTGTATTTTAAAATGTTCTTTTTCTATCGTGGCTTGTCTCTGGTCTTGCGTACCATCTCAGGGGCATGAGGGACCTGTAAAAGTCAGAAAACAGCCTCTAGATACAATACAAGAGATGGAGCCCCATCAAGCATTATCTGACCAAGCGCCTTTTCACCTACAAGGGAAACATATTACAGATTACCTCGCATGTGTGGAAACAACAAAAACCCCTTCCATTCACATCACTGTCAGAAAATTTAACAACTACTAATTCTGAAAAACATTTACTAATGTAAATCGTCAGTGCTGTGCAGGGCTCTACAATGATAGATGCTGCCGGATGCCACATCAGCACCAAATTCAAAATAATCAGGGCAACAGACGCAGTATTACAGATGTGTGAATGGTGAAAATAGCTGGACAATCTGTCTGTGCTTCGAGTAAGAAATTGCACGTGTCATGTACACTGATCAGCCATAACATTATGCCCACCTGCCTAATACCGTGTACACAGGACTCAATGCAGCAGATGGTTGGCCCTCGTGTCACTCTGCATCTTCTGTGAATCAGTTTGTTTCCATAGTTTCACTGTCAGGACGAGGACCAATGTGGTGACCATTCAGTGGAAAACTCATGTAAAAGTAGTGGAAACTGTGGTGGTGAGGACACATTAGAGATCATGTGAGACAAATTCAACAGTTTCCTCACTCCAGGTGTGATATCACCACTACAGCCCCGACTCTTTCTCTTCATAGAGACCAGTGAACAGTATTTCTCATTTTCAACCATTTTAACAAAGATTCAAACAAAATGGAATCTTTTGAAAAGGATGAATGAAATTTAAAAGTTTAATCTACAGCAAATCAAGCTCATCATCGCCTTGGGCATCCATGACCCTGTGGTCGGTTCACTGCCTGTCCTTCCTTAGATACTCTTGGTAGATACAGTAGGCCAACGTGTTTGTCACATGCACAGTTAGGAAACATGTTTCCCTGTAGAATGAAATTCTTACTTTGCCCTCCACATGAATGCTGCACAATACAAGTGAAATATAAAGTAGATGAGCAATAACACAAATCTAAATAGGCAGTAAAATCACAAATCTAAGGCACTTTAAAGCAGCAAGTGAAGGGAGCAAATAAAAAATACAACAAGTACCGGTACACAATATAATGTAGAAAGAAAATATGCTACGTGGGAGCCCTGAAGTGCAAATATTCAGCAGCGAGTGTGCAATTATGCATGTGCAAGCCGAGTATGTAAAGATACCGACCACTGCAGACCGGGAACACCCAACAGGCCCTGCAGTCAGAGACGCTCTGACCCAGCCATCATAGTCTGGCCCTTGTCAAAGTCACTCAGATCCTTACGCTGCCCGTTGTTCCTGCTTCCAACACAACTTCGAGCTCTGAACATTCACTTGCTGCCTAATATAGCCCCTACGCTGACAGGTGCCACTGTAACCAGATAGTCAGTGTTATTCCATTCACTTATCAGTGTTCATAATGTTTTGGCTGATCCATGTATCACCTTTAGGCACTTTGAATATATTTGTTAGAGCATATATACTAAAGCACTGTAGAACCCTGCGAGTATTCAGCAAATTTCAGGTCCTGACCAACCCATATCCATGTTAGATACAGTTATAAAACTATCTCTGTCTGGGAGACTTGAGGAACCGTGGAGGCAGCACCAGGTCCACCTACCTGTACTTGCCCTGATCTTCAGGAAACATCACTGTCTTGTAGATATGACTGATCCCACAGGTGGTCAAATAATGTCAACAGTTTAGTAAATGGTACTGACTTGGTTCATTATTTACTTCATCATATTGTAATATTTATTCCATGCAAGGCAATCAACAAAAGGCTCACAAGGCATCAGGGTGCTTATTTGCATTTAAGACAAATAATAGAAGAAGTGAGAGGGAACTCACCGCTGTTGGCCCCCAGCATGTCAATCATTCTTCCTGGTGTGCACACAATGATCTCAGCTCCTCGCTTCAGTTCAGCAATCTACAACCCAGTGACAACAGTATAGTTAAACAGTTAAAGGGTAAGTACACTGTCAAATTCAGCTGAATGCTTAGCTCTCGCCCAGTTTTACAAACGCAGAGGCATCGTGGCTACACTGTGTGCGAGGGTCCGGAAACACAGGGCAGACTGACTAATACTGATATGATAACAGGGGCTCATTAATCATAACTGCCCTGCAGCATGGCAATGACATTGTGTATTATTGCAAAGTGTTTTCCTCCATTTGCTGTTGAGTTTGATGGACTGCAAGGGAAAACTCATGAAAGCCCCTTGGAGATAAACAGACAAAATCAGTGTGTTTGTGTTTACCTGTTCACTGATACCCGTGCCTCCATAAACACAAACCACTCTCAGCCCCAGTGGTTTAGAGAACTTCTTACACTCCTTGGTGATCTGCAGAGCCAACTCTCTGGTTGGAGTCATGATCACAGCTGTGGAAGAGGGAGGAAAACAGGATGAGAACAGAAAAGATTTTTTTTTTTTACTAAATCTGAACACACACATTTTCACAAAACTGTTCAAAACGGATGCAAAGCATTTGCCAAGAACATTAACTTAAGTAAAACTGACTAATACCTTTAATGGGTCATGAAGAATATTATAAATGCTGTGGGTGACTATTCAAAAGTAAAAATTTGTCATATTTAATTTTTCTGCCTTCGAGATACATATGGGTCGTGAACGAAGTCTTTGAAAGGCACACAAGCATGACATCACAAATACCTCACCCACAGTCCAAGATCTTACGTTCTGTCTTAACTCACTTCAGTTGTCATATAATCTCTTTTAATGTAAGCAATAGAAACCTTTCTGTAGATGTTTAAGAGTGATGCCTAGAGAAAGTATAAAATGCTGGACTCCTTACAGATGGGTCCCTCAGATTCCTCCAGGGGCCTCTGATCCATAATGTGTCGGAACATGGGCAACAAGAAGGCTATGGTTTTCCCACTTCCAGTCTTAGCAATGCCAATGAGGTCTCGCCCAGACATGATGGCAGGGATGGCCTGGGCCTGGATAGGGGTGGGCTTCTCATAGCTGTGCCTGGGGACATTTGAAAGGAATGAACATGAATATGATGAGTTGGTTTCTGGTGCAAAAGAATCAAATGTACAATCTGAATACAAGTTTCATTTGCTGCTATCAAGTTTTAACCAAATTTCAAGAGTAGACTAATTGGAATATGAGTGGTTACACTTTTTAAAGGGCATTTGTGATTGATTTTTGTTATGACACAGTCTGCAAATATTGTTTTAACAAACATCTTGATACCGCCGCATTACCTGAAACATCATACTAGTGACTTAAAAATTGGCAGGTGCTTGAGCAATTTACATACAGCCTGACTTCCTTGGTATCTTTTCATGAAAGTGAAGCACACAGCTCAACTACCACCACATCAGCAGTCACCATCAATCACACTCACTTCTTCAGAGCATTGAGGATCTTCATAGACACCCCACACTGTACCCAGGTCTTGATGGGTTTGGGGCAGCCCTTCCCTTTGACAATAATGCCTTCCAGCTCCAGCCTGTATGCATTCACCTCTGTGTAGATTTAAAAACAGCCACAGAGACAAATGTTAGGCTGTGGAGGATTACAAAGGCATGCACTCTGAAACATGGAAGCAATATCCACACACACACACACACACACACACACACACACACACAAGATCATACAGTATGTGCCTGTTCAATTGCATTATGTAGCTCTGGTACAAAATATTGCTGTAATTTTGTTTCCTTACATGAATCTGGGAAGGTGTGTATATCTGAAACTACATATTCTCAACATGTCTTAAATCTGCAATAAATTAATTCAAATAATAAATGTGCAGTGGTTTGGATACATGCTGTATCCCCGTCATCTCTGTGTTGTGTTCACTGACCCTCTGGAGTCATCTTGGCCAGCTCAGGCACCTCCACATAGAAGTTTTTGCGGTAAGACTCATACTGGATCTTCCCATGGTCAACAGGCTCCAGGATTTTTCTCTGTTTGGTCTGAAAGCCTGTCAGAGCTGTCTGCAGATCCACCTCTTCCTCCTCTGACGAGTACTAACAGACACATCAGCTACATGTTAGATGATTGGATCCCATCAGGACATAATTGATGAAAACGTGTCTGATCAAATGTGAATTCTTAATTTTAATCTCCATCACAAACAAAACATTACTGAAGGGAAAACACTCACCTCCATAGCATCCTGGTCATTCTCCATCAGCTCACCCTTCTTCTTGTGTGTGGGACCTTTTTTGGTTTTAACAACTGTCACCACTTTGGTTACGGTCATTGCCCCTTTCTGTAGCAGACAAAAAAATAAAAAAATTCAAATACAGTTTGAAAACCTTGAAAGCATTCAGCATCAGCAGACCTGTCTCCAAGCTAAAAGGCTGAAGTATTTTCTCTTCACACTGACCTTATCGTTTCCTTTCATGGCTCCAATGTTGAACTTCTTCACCTCCTGTTTGACCTCCTCCATGTAGGCGTCCAGAGGATCCACATCATCCTCCTCAGTCTGCAGCTCCATGGGAACTTCCTGCTCCTTCTCACCCTCCTCTTTCTTCTCCTCCTTTATCTCCTTCTCTTTCCTCTCTTCCTTCCCTTCCCCATCTTCATCATCGTCACCCTCCATTGGCGCTGAACCCTCCTCATCATCGTCTGAAAGGTAGTGTCAACGGTAACAGAGTGTTAAAGCTAAGGCCTGTACTGGTCAAGTTGTTAACTAGCTGATTCAAATACATTCAGAAATTATAACTTGATTTTAATTGATTAATTTAATTATCATCAAGTTCAAATATCAAACATTTGCTGGATATAGTTTTACAAAGCAAACTGTGCCTTCACAAGGATACTTAGGCGTGCATATTTAAACTCCAAAGTTCCTCTACAATAAAGCAACACACAGTGGATCAAACTTAAGACCAAAAACTCACAATATTTTCCTTCCTCGCAGGATAACTTTGCCACTGAGTGACTTTGGCTCATTCCTGGTAAGTTACACATGGTTGTTTCCAGTAATATTGCCAGCAGGTTTAAACAAACAGACTGCAGGCTATTAACAGTGCTTCCTCACCTTCATCATCCTCCAGGCTCCACTTCTTCCCCTGCTTCATCTCCTCCAGTTCTTTCTTGATCTCTCCAATGTTCTCAATGGCCTTCTTCCTCTGCTCTTCCCTCCACTTCTCCACTCGCTCCTTCCTCTTCCTCATCTCCTCCTCCAGCTTGTTCTGGTCAAAGTCTTGCTGCATGGATGCAACAGAAAGATCTAAAAATATTTTCCTTTTATTATGTAGTGATCTTTTAGCAAGAAGTGAATACAAGACACTTACATCCACAACTTTCTCATCCTCTTTCTCCTCTTTAACCTTTTTCTTTTCAGATAAAGGATCAAAGCTGTCTCTCTCCTTGCTCCTTGACCTGTACAGAAGTTAATGAAAATAAGAAAAACAGTAATGATTGCAACCCTCACAGCTCTTAGGCAGAGCAGGAGAAGGAAAGTGGCTAATCCATCATAACCATCTGCCAGCATATAATTTGAGACTGCTTCTACTTCACAAAAGAAACAAAGCAGCTATGTTTCCTGCTAATGTCAACTGCACATACTGTATTTGGAACTACACAGAGCCAAAAGTCTATTTTAATTTATCACTCAGTGTTGCACCAAAACAGCATATTAGTGTACAAATGACATGACGATTTCAGGGGTTTTGGTATTGACAGCCGTCGGTTATACCACAGTTGATATTTAAACAGCCTCACTTTTCATCTATTCTTCTGCTTTTGCTGGGGCTGCCAGATCGAGATCTCCGGGCTCGGCTCCTGCTGCCTGACCTCCTCCTGTCTCTGCTTCTGGACCTCCTCCTGTCTCTGCTCCTGGAGCGCCTGGAGAGCAAAGGCAAACATAACACATAAAAAACACTTCTCAGGACATTTTCACACTTGATTTATTTCCCTATCTCAAGTCATCGAACAGTGACTGAACCCAAGGATTTGTAGGGCATTGGCAAACAAATTCAGACCTTCACTATGTCAGAGGTACAACATGCATCATAAAATAGGATGACTAGTAACAGCAGTATTATTCTCCCCTGCATCTTTTCTTCAGTCTTACCAGACACTTGTGATTTTACACAACTCTGATAAAGCGCAACATCATGACAACATCAACAGGTAACCTGGTTTACAGCGATAATGACTGCGGTGTGAATAACACCACGGTGCTAAAGTGGACCACAAAGAGAAGCGAGATCTCCTTCAAATCCTCTGAGGCTGAAACGTTAAATACAAGCTGGGCTGAATCCACTTGCAGCTGGTTCGGCTCCTTTAAATATGAACAGCTGCAGTTTCTTTAACGCGACGTCCACATATTATGGGATAAGTCACACACCTGACTCGTTTTCTGTCTCTGGACCGGGACCTGCGGCGGTCACGACTCCGTGAACGCTCCCTCCTGCTTCGGTCTCGATCACGGTCGTCCTTCTTGGAGCGTTTGTCCGGGGAACGGCTCTTTGATCGGGTACCTGACCGTCCCCGCGACGCGGAGCGCTTCCTATAGTGTCTGAGAAACAAAGAGCAGATTTATTATGTTAGGTGACAAAGTGTTTTATAAATTATATTTATAGAAACGTTTAAATTTATATTTCACAGCTGTATGGTATTATCTGTTAGCTGATGCATATTACACTAACATATGAACGCCTGAGCTAGCATGCTAATATTAGCCATCGACATAAAAACATCTAAAGTTCAGCAGCAACGGGAGTTAGTCAAGTCACGGCAACCGAAGACAAAAACACTAAACTGAACAGATCACTCTGGCATACCTCGACTCACGTCCCATGATATTCCACGAAGTTTGGTCTTATAAAAATGAAATTAGCTCACAGTAGCGATGGACGTCATTTATGTCTTTGAACCTGCGCGTCAGAAAACTGCGACATGTCAATTCAAAATCATGTAGCGTAGTGCGCCGCACAGTGGTGGGAGGTCAGAACGGCGACTTCAAAACTGTACTGTACTGGAGCTTGTGACACAGGCGGTGCCAAACGTTTTCACAGATAAGAACTGGGCCCCGTACATATGCCATCTCAGTAGACCCCTCACACTTTTAATACATCAATTGTCATACAACATAAATTACACATATGCAATAACAAAAGAAGCAAGTGTATGCATGTAGGCTATTTGTGGTGATTATTTAGCAAAGCAGTAATAAAGTGTTTCAAACACATTTGAGTCTGCACAATCTGAAACATGAGAAAAAGTGAAATAGCCATCTTACTCTGCCCCTACAGTGAGAAAGGATTAGGCTATTTGTTAGTATAGTGCCTGTATACCGTTTGCTTTTAACACTATTATTCTCCAGTTTTGTGCCAAAGAAGCAAATATTTTCCAGTGTTGATAATGATAACCTTGGAATGTTAAACATTCATTTATAGAATCTATCACATAATTATATGCTCCACTGTCATGCATTTTATCAGACAAAATGCTTCAACATGTGAACCATAATGCTAATTTACCTCCACCCTTACATAGACCCTGTTTATTCTTTTAAAATTGGATAATTTTTGACAGTGAATTGGAATCTAGTGAAACTGCTCTCCATTCTGCTTGTGGCCCCCAGAGGATCCCTGACACCTCTCAACTTTATTAACATGCATGTCTTTGATACATAACCCAGTAAATTAAGAATGTGAGAGTCAGTCCAGAGTATCTCACACAAGTATTTATTTGGTAGGAAGTGTCTGGTTATTCATTCCTGTGTACTGTTTCTAAGCAATAAACATTTACATCACATCAACACAAAAATTATAATTATGCTATTGAAGTTCAAATATGTAAGATACTGTTAAAGCCATTAAAAAACTGTTATTCTGTAAACCTTATCAAAAACAACCAAGCAAGTCAGTAAGATAAATTATACCAATTCATTTCCATGAGTTAAAGATATTCACATTAATAAATAATTTTGGATGAAAGTAAAAGTGAGGACATGAACAGCACAAGGGTATAGTGTTTACAATGTATAAATGAAGCAAAGCAGGACACATCACCAGAATTACTCAACACAAATAAGCATATAAACTCCCACCGTCTCACATAAAACTGACATCACAGTACTTTCCAGTTAACCCAAAACATTCCCAGCAATCGCACATAAACACTGTACGAAGCTTACTATGTTTTAAAGCTCAAAGCCATGCAAAAGAACACACTCCACATTCAAGGACTAAATGCTTCTTCTGACTTAAACAAAAGAAGAAAACTTGTTTATAATGTAGATGGACCCTTTCCGAACTCTGGATGACTCATCACAACAGAAAATGCAAACTAAGGGACTGCCTTGAGGAAGTCTGACACACAAATACACGTGATTAATCAGGAAATGACAGCGTTTGCTCTGTCTATGGATGAAAAATTCAGCATCTCCTGCTTGTTCAAGCTTCAAATATATTCTATAAATGTTCTTAAACACTAAATATCTCTGACTAACCAGGAGCCAAGTGTGTAAGTGTTTGTGTTTTGTGACTTAAACATGGCAAGTTTGATGATGTTGAGTTTCTCCTTCATCCTCAATCAATTTATACTTCATTTAGCCAGAGCAGTGTTCTCCCTCTAGCCTTCTAGTCTACAATCTGGCTCAGTACGTGATATTAGGATCAAAATACATCTTCAGATGTTCCTACATGTCTATGTAATTAAGGTCTTTGTTGTTGTGTCATGGTTAAAAAGCTTAAAGGTTGTGGAGACATTGCAATGAATCAGCAGAGGTGATTCTGTATGAGGGGAAGGTAACCCAGTGGTTTCAGCCACTCCATGTTAAACTTTCTGCTAAGTCAGCCATCGACTGTCAATCATAAAGGATCAAGAACCTCAGTCAACTCTTCCTCCAAGGCTGTGGCCAATTCAGCCAATAGATTATGTCAGAGTTTAATAAACTAAGCTAATTTCACCCTACAAAGTTTCCTCCATCAAATGTCAGTGAAATTTAGACTCAGGTTTTTTTTTTTAATAGCATGAACTGAAAATGTGCCGACCCCAACCCAGTGTAGGGCTGACTAGAAAGACAAAAAGCATTCATAGTGTTGTTTGCTGGCTGGGAGATCGTCTACCTCCTGAATTTCTCCAGCAGATTTGGTTTCATTGCACAGTCAGACATCTGCTGAGGAGCCTGGTTTGTTTTAGCTGAGAATATGACACCCCTCCCCGTTTATCACCTTTGGAGGTTATCAGGACAGAAAGACTTAGGGCTAGGGGATAACTCAATATTACTGCATTAGCTTGCAGCTGAAGTGTATCATGGCAATGATGAACATCTTGTGTTATCTTTTAACATCTTATTTAAAACAAGACTGCCATTTTTATTTATCACCTTACAAATTTATAGCTGAATTCATAAACAATAAAATGCAGTGTTTTTCAGTTTTATACACTTGGGGTACTTTTGCAGCTGCAGCCTCACTTTGGTAAGACCAGTAGCTTATGATGGTAAATCTTATACCAGACATTACTGAGTCATTTACTGACTGTGGCTCCTCTCTAATTTGGGTTAGCGTTGCACCCTGTTTTAGCATTTAGTATTACACTGCATTGGCTATTTGTGGCCTCAGTGGCTGCTGCTCAATTAAAGATACACAAGCTGTGTCCCAATTCAGGAGACGCCTCCTTTGAAGGCTACGTTTGAAGACCGAGAAGGCCATCACATTTTGAAGGCTCCTTCAAATGCATCCTTCTGCAGAGCAAAGAAGGCTCCAACTTGTGGCTCCTCCAATGCCCACACTATCCCAAGATTCTTTGCATGCCAACAGAGAGCAGAGTAGCTGTCACGGTTGCTAGGTGACAGGAGCGGTTCTTCCTAAGGCAACAGTATAGACAGGGACAGTTGGAAACATAACCATCTCATTGGCCCATAGTTTAGCCTTTGCAGTCTACAATGGCTACGTAGGTCATGCCTTCATAGACCAGATCCTTCGGAGGATGCGGCCCCTGAATTGAGACACGGGTACAGTCTCGCTTCGCATTAATTAGTCCACATAAACAATTTAAAGAACTAAAAAGCAGATGAATATCTTGTTTTATCCTCAGCGATGCAGAAATGTATTCCAGTATGTGTCAGTACACTGTGACATCACTGAAGTGGGTGTGCTCTTATAACCTTCACCCAGAGAGGCAGCAGAACACTGCCTTTCAGTGCGAATAGGTTTTCTACTGCATAACACTGACCATCAATTTGATTATTTTATGTGACTGGGGATACATTTGCCATGCATCAACATCATAATTTTTAAATTAATAAAATATCAGTGTGAGAAATCTTGCCCACTCCTGGAGGGACTCCAGTGTTTCCCATTCATATCAAATGGAATGTGTGGCTGCACAGTGTAAGGTCAGACTGATGGTGACCTGGGGTCTTGTTCACTTTTCCATATGACATTTACCATCACTAATAAATATCACCAATATGATAAATGGCTGTACTTTCTTCACACACAAGAACACAAACTGTTGTTCTGTTTCAGAGTTTCTATAATAACTTTCAGAACTGTACCAAATGCTGTTTATGTGTAGCTGAGCCTTGGAGAAATCCTTATGTAACAAGCAACTTGATCAGCCGTCGTGTGACCCTGATATCATAAGGCAGCAGGGATTCCTTTCCAGCTGTCAACAACAAACCCATGTCTGAGGGTGTAAATGAGCATGCCTTGTTGTTATGGGAGACAGAGGGAGGGGACATGAAGGGGGGGCAAGTTACTGAGGTCTTTCCAGTCCATCAGGGAGTCTCTGAGCCAATGAGCAGCAGGATCTCATGTGAGAGGATGAAGGTGAAGAAGTAGATGCAGAGGTCAGCAAAAACGTCACCCATCCTCCTGTAGGTGTCCATGGAACGGTTGATGACCTCAGCGGGGATGCCCGACAGCAGCAGGGCAGCTGTGAGCACAGTGGTCTTGGTCTTCTTCTCTACCTAGAGGAAGAAGAGTATAACGCAAAGATGCTATGAAACATGGCTGTCATAGGGTATTTTTGAACTTCAGAGAGCCAGGCTAGCTGATTCACTGTTTCCTTATGCTAAGCTAAGCTAATAACCAGCAGGGCTGAAGCTAGCTAGCATCACATTTACCATACAGACATGAAAGCCATACTGAGCTTCTCAACTAACTCTCAGCAAGAAAGAGAATAAAGCACATTTCCCCCCAAATCAAACCTTTTCCTTTAAACAGTTAATCTGTCAGAATTGTTGATCACTGTCCTTCATTTTGATCGATTAAATCTTAACTCTGGTGGAAGAAGTTCTCAGATCCTTAAGTAAAAGTAGCAGCAACACTTCCTGTATGTTAAACAACGGGACAGGGCTCATAAAAGCTAGTTCACACTCACCTTTGGAAAGTATTTGGACAACCCCATGTAGGCCAGTTCCAGGGTCAGAAAGGGAGCAAATATTGACTGAATGAATGAATAAAGCAGAGTGTATTAAAAAAAAAAAGTGGCGACATCCCCATCGACTCTATGAGCATCTTTTTTTACAGTAATGGTGAATCGTGGGAATCTTGAATAGCTACAAACATTAGCAGCAGTGCCATAGAATGACACTGACTTGGCTGCTATCTTCCAAAGTTCAATTCCTACACATACAGGCAATAAATATCGTTTTAAATGCAAGCATTTGTCATTTTAAATCAAAAGCTGCCAGCATATTTTTGTGAATGGTGACTTGTATCACGCTCGTACCTACTGCCACTACACCTTGACAGGTCAATCTCACAGTAATCATAGGAATCTGAGAGCACAGGGAGCAGACTCACCAAATACCTGCAGACAAAGACCCTGACAAACACAGCAAGGAGGATGCTGCCGATGAGCCTGAAGATCCTGAAAGGATCAAACTCCTCTGAGTCAGAGCCTCCATCCTGAGCCGGCTTCTCGTTGTCCAGCTGACCACGCAGTTTCATGGCATTGTCAAAGTGAGACAGGTACTTCTGGAGGCCTCGGCGCGGGGAGCTGCTGGGGTCATCTGATGCCAGCTCCCCCCTCGGTCTCTGTCGGACCC